TTTGTTCTGTTAGTCAGTAATTTTTGAAGGGAATCGTATTTTTTTCTGGCTTCGTCCCTCTCTCTTTTTAAACTATCGTTCTCTCTAGCAAGCTGTTCTAGATCCTCACGCAATTGCTGCCTTTCAACTTCCAGGTCCTCTTTTTGGCGGACACGTTTGGTGCGGCTGTTTTGAGCGTAGCCCCTGTTTTTCAAAGTTCTCCTTCTCTGCTTGATTCTGAAAACCTCGTCATCCGAGTAACCACGCAGAACATTGTTTAAATCCTTCACCGGAAGACTCACCAAAACGTCGTCAGAGATTCATCTCTTTCTTGACTCCGTCTTCTTTCTTTCTTTTCACCACGGCGGGCTTCTCTTCTTCCGCCATGACACCGCCCCAGCATTCTTTGCTGTCAGCGAAGATAACATAGTAAATCCCTCCCCTCCCCACCCCGACAAATTCTCCTTGTGTCAGTGAACAACTTGACCTGTACAAGTCGGCTGTTTTCTCAGGCTACAACTCCTTGATACGACTGAAAATTTTAGCTTACCCCTAGAGCTTATCATTCTATTATCCATGACGTTATCGGAACTCCACGGGAGCTCTAAAATGTCATCTGTGTTTGAATGAATCGGAGTTTGTCCGTTTGAAAATCGGAGTTTGTCCCGGGGGGGGGGGGAACTCCTGCGAATTCTCAGTGAGGGTGTGCCGCCCGGTTCTCCAAATCCTGACCCTATTTCAGACCAAATGATATCATTTTTCACACCCGTTTTCAGACCTGGCCCGCAAAATCCATACCCGTTTTCAGACCTGGCATGTAAGTAGATATGTCATCATTACTCAGATTAGAACAGCAACAAAAAAGATTTCTTAAATTCCCTTTCGAATTCGAATATTCCTCTTACTCATTTGGAATTGAAACGATAAATACGTTCATACACTCCCGTAGTTCCCTCGAAAACCATACCCGATTCCAGACCAAAATGGGCAGTTTATACCCATTTTATGACCAAAACTTACGTAAGGGTGTACCCCCCTGAAGTTTGTTTTTCGAAAATTGGAGTAATTGTGTATTTTGTTTGTCTTCCAAAATCGGAGTTCGTTTTCGAAAAGGAGTTTGACAATCGGAGTTGTTTTCGAAAATCGGAGTTTGTTTTTGAACCGATTCTTGAAAACAAATTCCAATTTACGTAAACAAACTCCGATTTTCAAAAGAACAAATTCCGATTTCTGTCAAAAATACAGTGGAACCCCGCCTTACGACCACCTCGTTTATGCGACCACCTCGTTATTACGGCCATATTCTTTCAAACCAAACGTAAAAACCATTGAGTCATTTTATTATTTTGAAGACCCCGTTAATGCGACCACCTCGTTATTACGACCAGGATTTTATGGCCCAGCGGTGGTCGCATTAACGGGGTTCCACACGGTCCCTTCATAGTATTAAAAGCGCTTCCGTAGAACTCCAACGCAGGCGCTAGGAATAATTGTGTATTTTTTTTCTGTTGGTTAGGGGTTTAGACGGAGAATCAGGCGCGGATCTAGGATAAATAACAGCTTCCAGAGAGGTCCGGAGACGGGCTCCCCCAGGAAATTTTATGGATTTTCATTCCTTAAAGTCCCCTTTCCTGGATTTCATAGTCATTCAGACAGGATACTGGCCAGATTCCAACCTTGAAAGTGTTTTCATTATCAAAAATATATTTGTTATGAAAAATGCGATCGATTTCCGTAAAATGGTGGAAACCGGTGTGGATCCGAGAATGGTGTCTTGAAGCTCAACATAAGGGTACAGTAAAAAGGCCCTCGTCTCTCGGCCTCCCAATACGTACATCTACAGGTTGTCACTCTTCAGTTAACAGACGGAACTACTGCCAAAAATAGACCAATGGTGTCTTTATGTAAACCTCGCCCTCCCAACCCACGCATCCCTGTTTGCTCGAAGATGCAAGCTCCCATGTGCGTCCTCTCAAATATCCCGGGAAAAAAAAAAGAATAAGGGGAGGGGGTGAGCTTAAAAGAGGGGGTAACTTAAAATGCTACTACGACCAAAACTTTAGTTCTTAATGTTCTCCGTTTCACGCTTCACTATATTTCATGTAGCATATTATTACGTAAATAGCTATGAATTACATCAATATTAGCGATTTGCCTTCTTTTGTACTTCTTTACACTGCTTGTTCCAGTTCAGTTAACAATATGTATATACCCCAAGGTGTTTATGAAACCTTACGCTTCTGTAGCGGTGTAACACATGGTGTATGTAAGTCAGATTCGGAGTTCGATTGACTCATTTCTAACCTCAGACGTAAAGTGTGGCACTTTGCCAGTGCGAATCCGCCTCCCACGCAGACGTTCTTAGAGGTTCGTCACGCAGTCCTGCCCCAGGTAAATGAAAGGGTAGGGATTTGACTAGTTGAATTATATGAAAGAATAGGGAAATCTATCATTTTGGTCGGTAGAAAAACCCAAAACAGCTATAAACAGATGCATTTTATGGCTGTGAAAAGGTCGAGAA